CTTAAGACAATGTTAGATCTTAAATCCAATCAGAATTTAGCAGTTTCTACAACTGAGGCTATTTTCAAAGCTAATGTATCTAGAACAGGTAAGATATTGATTGCTCACAACTTCTTTACTGAGCCCCACTGAACTGCAGCTTTAAATATCAGAAGTTAATAAGTGATTTTTTTTAGGGAGTATGCTGATCCCTTTTGAAAATTTGTCCTAAATGAGTTACTCGTCCCTTTGTCCCCCCTCAGGTTTCGTGAAGGACGTGGCTCGACCAGATTACTGGGTGCCGGATCAGAACATCATCCAGTGCCATCAGTGCTCCAAAACCTTCACTGCAGCCATGTCCAAGCACCACTGCAGGGCCTGTGGGCAGGGAGTGTGTGGCCCCTGTTCCACACACATCAAACCCGTGCCCTCCAGAGGCTGGGACCACCCGGTCCGAGTGTGCGACGGCTGCTTCGCCCGCTCCGACACAAACTGAAGCGTCTCCATCAGTTGGCCCACAGCCACCTGTGTGAGTCAGCACTGCAGCTCCCTGAAACCAGGAGGGACTGATTTACCAGAACTGGAACTGCTCTCTTTCTGTGGGACTCTTCAGGCCGCCCAGATGGGTAAAACCCTGCCGTTGTGGTCGTCTCCTCCTAACAGGCTGATTCTGGGTCAGTTCTGAAACACAAAACCTGCTGTAGCTCACAGCTTTAGGACTAACTGGACCAATCACAAGCTGCTTTTAAAACGTTAACCTTTAATCTCCTGAAGTGTCAGTTTATCACAGCAGAGCTTAAACACAAGTGCACTCTAGTGGGGGTCTTCCTTGTTTATTTTATTATGTTCGCACGTCGATGCAGCGGGCTGTTCTGCTTCAGATCGAAGAGTTTATTAAATTAGCCAAACGAGGGGACAAATCAAAGGGATTTTACTGGGAATATGAAGCAATCCCCCACCCTCATCGACTCGTTCGCAGAGCTTAGAACAGCTCAGGCTCCTCTGAGCTGTCTCACCTCTAAGCAAAGAGAAATACTACGAACTTTAAAGTAGAAATACTACGAACATTAAAGTAAAAAAAACGTAGCTCAGAGTGACGCTGGAGCAAGAAGACACAAAACGAGTGAGTGCAGCAGCATGTGCCTTCATGGGTTTCTGTTCACCCTGGTTTTTTTTAGCCACTAAGTTTGTTTTATGGAGATTTCTGCATAAATACTACAGGTAAAAATATTATTTGTGCCTATTATTAAGGTTATCATTTACAGCGTGAATGATAAAAGATAGAATTTGTGTCTTAACATATTTAGACATTCCAGTTTTAATAATAAATGTGTGTAATATTATAGATTTTCCTCGTGATCAACGATGCTTTCTTTAAATAACAAATGCACAAGGCTCCAGAAGCAGTCTCCTTAAATCACGTTTCGATTATTTAAAGTTGATACATAAACGACAGCTTTTCTATGCAATAAAGTAGGATGTTTTCATTCTTTTTATATTGTCTATGATTTAGTTTTTCAGTCAAATCTAACAAATGACAATCTTGACTTTATGTTTGTTTGAAAGAGCCTTGTTCAAATAAAGAAATCAAAAGAAGTCTTTTAGCCTACATCAATCGTCAATACAAACAAACCCAGACATTTTTTTTGTGTCTCAGGAGTTGTAAAGGAACAGAGTTGGTGTCGTGTTGTCGTTAAGTGAAACTGCAACGTTTCGTGGGATCCGTTAACCCTCAAAGTATGTGCTGAGGAGGACTCTCAGCTACAACCACACCAAAGTTGAGCTGTTAAAGTGGCTGAGTTCGAGCCATTTGTTTGTTATAATGGCTTTGTTGTGACAGCCATCTTTGAGTTGACTCTGTGGATGCACATCCAGTGATTAGTTTTCAGAGTTACCCTACAATTACAACAACAACAAAAAAAGGAAGAAAACGTCAATATTTAAGAAATTTGGCGATTTTACCCATTTTGTCACATGCTGGCACATTTTCTTTTGAACTTGGTGCAAAGTAAAACAGGAAGTGACATCAAAGGGGAACTTCCTGGTTTTTGTTTATTAAAGCAATATGAACTCTGACTCTTTGTCTCTGATAGTGAATTAAAAAAAATCTAAATAATCAATTCTTGTGTTTGTGTTAGCCGTTGTAACGATGACATCACTTCCTGCTATTGCTTATGAAAATATCTCAACACCTGTTCGTCTCAGCAGGTTTTTTTTGCCATACATTGCTGTTATCTTTCCAAAAATGCATTCATATTTTTTATAAAAATTATTACGTCACAGTCACTTTAAGCTTCAGCTGTGAAGAAGTTTTTTGGGTTTTTTAACCAAAGAAGACCAGAGAACTGGTCAGAGTAAAATTAAAGACAGATGGTGGAAAATATGGAGACATTCTTGAGGGAAACTTGTAAAAGTTTTGCTCCTGAACGAGACCGTCTTCTGGACCAGCCTTTGTCTCTGAACTGGACAAAGACCTGTATCACTGCTGAAGACACCCTCCTGTGGAGAATCTTAAATGTCCTGGAAAGGTCCGGTTAAAGTCCACATCTGAACAATCCCCACCCTTCACCCCAAAGTTGTGCTTTATTTTGAGAAAGTAACGTATTGAAAGTTACTTTGGAGAACATTTAATTGAAGTACCAGTAATACAGTTTTTTCCTAATCATTTTTTAAATTAAAAGTATTTTTAGATGTAACTTTGATTCAATTTACTTTGAGCTACTTTCATGCACCAGTTGAAATCCAGACTCTCCTAAACTGGCGCAGTTGCAGATGAACTGAGCACAGATTGACCGTCTCAGAAAAGTATTTTCTTCTTGCATCTTTACATTTGACTTCCTGTTTATGATGGCTCACATTGTGAATCTTAGACTTTTCCTACCGTCGCGTCGAGATGATGATTGAACTTGTACAAAGCTGCTCATTTCAGTGTGAATTATATTTTAGTATTGGAAGTTCACTGTTACTCTAGAAACAGTAGTGTCCAGTGTAATATTAATGCTGAAGCAAAGTGAGAGATGGTGTGTTTCAGCTGCAGCAGGCTGAGTCATGTCTTCTGTGAACACCAGGGGGCGGTAGATGAAGTCAAACAGAACAGGAGCTGCAACATGACAGCAGGGGGTTGACCATAAACAAGGATGTCAGGAATTAGCCTTTTTTTTTTCTCATTTATTCCAAACACAAAATTATGCTTTCATTGAAAATGTGTCATCACTTGTGCAAAAAATAGCATGAGCAGAGTCACATTTCAAAGTAATCTGAATCCTTTTTAGATGTACTCCAGTAATAACAAGCCGGGGTACCTGCAGAAAATCTAAACTAAATGTCCAGTGTTTTGATCTGCTGCTGTCATTTCAAGGCTTTTTCTTTTTAATAATGAATGTTTTCGTCATGGAGTTGGACTACGGCCTTGTGATGCAGCTCTTCATCAGGATCTGGTCACTCATTGACTCGTTACAACTTGCCCTCTCCTCTTTTAACCTCATGTCATTAAAAAGATTTTTTGTTCTTCTTATTTCGACTGTTCTCTTCTTCGGGGGTCACCACAGAAAACTAAGTCGCACAAAGACTTGTCAGCTGTTTTTTGCCAGATGCCCTTCCTGTTGCAACCATAGACCACCGAGCTGCCACAGACCTCTGGGGGAGCAGATGGTGGGGGTTAAGGGCCTTGCTCAAGGGCCCAGTGTGGGGCAAATGAGGGTGGAGGCAGGTGTGGGTGTTTCACACATTTTGATGTCAGCATAGGGCGTTGAACCGGCACCTTTCCTATCACAGGCCCACCTTCTCTAACCCCTGCGAGTCTCCTGCCATCCTTCTGAGGAAAGAGCTGAAGGGAGTCCCTTCGTGACAATCATTAGAAAGGTACAGTTTTATTTTTTAAAAATCCCTGCTATAATGTGTGTGTGTGTGTGGGGGGGGGGGGGGTTAAAAAAGGAAATGGGTAGAAATGAAAACAGCACTTTTATAATGTCCTTTTTTATGACTAATAATAGCAAAAAATGCTTTTATTTTGAGGTTTGTGAGGCTCAGGAGAGAGTGCCGTATATTTCAGACTATAAGGCGCACTTAAAATCTTTTCATTTTCTCAAAAATCAACAGTGAGCCTTATAATCTGATGCGCCTTATGTATTAATTCTGGTTGTGCTTACTGGCCTCTAACCAATTTTATGTGATACATGGCGCTCAAAAATCTGTCAAAATGTTGTTATTTTGCTTAATGCACCTTATAATCAGGTGCACCTTATGTATGAAAAATACAGTAACAAGTTGAAGGCAGGTCTCTTTGGCTGAGCTGTTTATGTAAAGAGTTTAAATCATTAAATAAGTTTTGGCTGGAAAAACTCATATTTACCTAGAAACACAAATTCTGCTCCAGAACCTGCATCCGGATGAACGAGTGATGCTGCAGTTTTCCAGCAGCTGTGCAGCATTCATCGAAGGCAACACCAGATCACGCTCCTGCCTTCATCTCCACTTATTCACATGCAGCAGCTCCACTGTCAGCCAGAGTGCAGCTTTCTCACTCACTCAGTCTCTTGTGGATCATGCGTGGCAGAATGTGGGAAAATGCATGAACATTTAATCAGAACATTTAAAACATGGCCTGATGGTTACAGTATTTCATAAAGGACTGTCAGGCCAGAGTTTATAGAGGCGGATCCCCACTTCATGCATCTTCCCACATTCTGCCACGCATGATCCACAAGAGACTGAGTGAG